GCCACTGCACTTTGGTGCCCAGCTTCTCCAGTGCGTACACTATTTCTGAAGGAGACACACAAAAGTTATGGGCGGATAATAAAGGAGGCGTACCTCTTTCGTCTCGGAGTGGGGCGACGTGTCGCTGTAGCGCGTCCGTATGCCTTGGTGGTGGATGGGAGGATCTGGTGTATGGCTGGTGTCGGTCTTTGTTGGAGCGTGGGAGTTGTTCTCGCCGTCCTTCGTTGCATCGATCCCTCCTTGTTTCTGAGTGTATCGTTGTTAGCCGTTGGGTCGGCTCATTAAGATCATCCTCGTCCGCTCGTACCTCAGCGCAATAGGTGTTGTGGATTTCCTCCCATGTGGTAGGGGGATATTTCATGAGGCGGCTTAGTAGCTTCTTGGTTGCCCTCGAACCATTCCTGTTTAGCCCGTTCTGGAAAGCGGTGACTGCCATACCTTCGATACGTTTGGTAGACTCATACTTACCCTATTAAACCTGGCTAGGAAGTCCCTGTGTCCCTCCCCTGTGGTTTGCCTGACGGCGAAGATGTCGTTGACCCTTGCTTCCGCTTTCTTTGCACCTGCATGGGCGGTGATGAACTTATCCGCCATTTCCTCGAACGTTGATATCACCTTAGCTGGTAGCTGAGAGTACCACGTTAGGGCCCCTCCTGTCAATGTCTCACCAAACTTCTTCAGCAGCACCGACGGTACCTGTTCTTTTGATAGGTCGTTGCCCTTTACAGCAGTGACATAGTAGATTAAATGATCCTCGGGATCTGTGGTTCCGTCATATACCTTTAAGTAGGGTGGCATCTTGAAGGTTTTTGGGATAGGGTGAGGGGCAGCTTCTTCCGTGTATGGTTGTTCAACGAACCTCCCCACGTCGCATTTTCGTAGCAACTTGGGAGCGCCGGGGATCTTGTCTACCCTCTCCTGATGTTCTTTCATTTGGTCGCGGAGTGCCTTGTTTTCATTCTCCATTTCTTCCATCTTCTTTAGGATGGCTGTTAGCGTGCCATCGTTGGTCTGTGCCTCGATGGGTTTGTTATTTGCTCGTGCAGCTTCAGGTTCACCCATGGCAGCAGTGGTACCTACCGTTGGTATACACCTGTCGTTACTTTGTGGTGACTTCTCAACCAAGCCACTTAGAGTGCTTGTTAGCCATTCTTCCAGTAGCTTCTTGACCACCGAGGGTGCTTCCTTAGCCGCAGATGTGGAAGCCCCTTTTTCATGCAAGATCGTCAGATCTTCGGATGGGGAAGATGAGATCTCTGCACCTGGCGTGATGCTAGGGTTGCATTCAAGATGCCCTCGTCACCGGCCTCGTTGAGAGGATCAAGGAGATTGGCTGTAACACCCACTATCGCTTTCATTCTGGTGTTATTTTCAGCCATCTTTTGTTTTCGTGTGGTGTAGAGAATGGTAGTTGGTTGCTCTCTAGGTGGATACTATGATTTTGATTCTCGAAATCCCCACAGACGGATCGATATACTTTGCAAGCTTAAAAACAATCAAAAGTAAGAAAGGGTAAATCGTAATCAAATATAATAGACCTAGAGATGAAAAATGAAGTTGTTGTTGTAGATCTAATAGTGATAATATGAACTCAAGAGAAAGTATTCGTTAGAGATAGCGATGGAGAGAGAGTATGAGAAAATGAAAGAGTTGTATTATTTCAGAATCATCTCACTTTTACAATGCGAAGGTCTCCCTTATATAATAAGAGACCTTCCTCGAAATAATCAAAAAGTTACAAAAATAGGTAACGTTTTCCTAGTGAAGACACTGAGTCCTAAACGATGTCGCTTTTGTCCCCACGTCCGAGTCGTACGCTTACTTTAGTCGGCGTATACTCACTGGGCGTACCCATTGGCATAGAGACGCTGACGGTCAAATTTGACCCTATACACAAATGAATGAAGAGGCTATTGAAAATTGTTAACTATATGATCTTCAATATTTTCAAGGAACATTATAAACGGTGTAAATAACAATTCTATTGCTTTATTTTTCTTTAGTTTTAGGATTCAAGGTGGCGCGTCGCTGGTTCAGTAGGGTATACAAAGTTTAAGCATGTTTAAAAGGAACATTAGAAATATATAAATTCCCACGTCCATTCTATTAACGCATCCAAAGGAATCTAATGAATGGGATAATTCACTTGTCATTTTAAGATTTTTTATTGAAGTTACATTTTCCTCATAACATAATATTTTAGAACCGAAGGGGAGCCTGGAGCAATGTATTTGAGCCGTGGGAGTAATCAATAATGTTCCTTGTATAAACGTGAAATATCAATACCTTGTGTACCGGGCTGCTCTTTTTTATATTTTAGAACCAACTATCTGCAATCTTTTAAAACAGGTTTATAAGGGTCTGTAGCTCTATATAACTACTATATTAATTCATTACCTTCTTAGAATTTTTTAGCGGATATTTCGTTGGGCAAAGTAAAAATCCAAAAGAAAATAATAAAGAATAAAAAAAAGCACAAAAGTTATTCACGTGACTCCCGTTTACCCCCATTTGCCTGCTGTTTTACAGGATAAGGTTGCTTTTAAACAAACTTCTCCTTATGAAAACATGGCAATCTCAGAATCGCAACGTTGGTTGGGCCCATTTACAATGTCCTCTAGTCCTCACCGTTGGATGAGGGACAAGATTTCGCTACAAAAAGTTTCTCAAACATAATGTGAATAGCCAACCGTGCAAAATATATTTTATAATACAATTAAATCACTTATCAGGTATAGTGTATAGTACATAATAATAAATATTTTTTTTATAAAAAATAACTAATTGATAGTGAAAATATTTATATATTTAAATTAAATCTTTCTGTATCATTTACACCAAAGGAGAATTCAATAATTGGTAACACGATCACCTCATGCATTTTGACTTGCAATGTCGTAAGTGAAGATATTCACAACTTGTTCGTTATTAAGTAAAAGTACATAGTGGAAGTCAAGATGCTCATGCATGAACTTGAACAGGACGGTCAACTGCAAATGGTATATTAGAATGGACGGACTGTAGACAACCGACAAGGCTATAATAATAAAGAGAAATGTTATCAAACAAATTAATTAAGAGAGCCATTTAGTCGAGAAAGGTAAGTAATCGAGTTGCAAATAAACTAGGATATATATATATATATATATATATATATATATATATATATATATATATATATATATATATATATATATATATATATATATATATGCCAATTAAGAGAATGAAGACGGAGCCTAGGGAGAAATGCTTCTGGACAATTGTATCTCCTTGTATATTGAGAGAAAATCAATTATAAGAGAGTTAGTTCTTCTACTATATACACGTGTATATATATAAGTAATGAATCAGCTCTAAATTAACCACTACACTACAATTAATTCTGTTATTACTAACTTCTAACACTATACTAAAGTAATTGCCTGTCACTCAGTCTCTAGCCTTTGTTCCTCAGCTTCCAATGCACAGCTGTCATCTGCACTTCAATACCCTTCTTCAAGCTAGGTGGTGTGTAAATATTCAGCAATCCTAGTTTGGAAAATAGATGATAGTGCTGCAAACTGCCAAGCCCTTTTGTCAATATGTCTGCTTCTTGCTCTTTTGTTGGCAGATATTCAAGATGTATCATGCCCTGCTGCACGTTCTCTCTTACGAAATGGCAATCAATCTCTATGTGTTTTGTTCTTTCATGAAACACAGGATTGTTAGCTATTTGCATTGCAGCCTTACTGTCTGTGAACAACTGTATTGGAAGAGAAACATTTATCTCCAATTCCTTGTGCAAACCTAGTAGCCATACAAGTTTAGCTACTGTCAGAGCCATGCTTCTGTATTGTGATTCTGCTGAACTTCTTGCTACTGTGTTCTGTTTTTTTTTTTTTAAATGTCCAGCTATTAAAGACTCCCTAGTTTCACCAAATAGCTAGTTACTGATTTTCTTGAGTTTGGACAACTTGCCCAGTCTGCGTCACAAAATGCTCTCAAGGGTGTATCCTTTTCTGTACTCATTAATACTCCAAGACCTGGCTCATTCTTCATATATCTCACAATTGTTTAAGCTGCTTAAAGGTGTGACTTCTTAGGAGATTGCATGAACTGGCTCAAGGTCTGCACACTATATGCTATGTCTGACCTGGTTAAGGTCAAGTAAAGCAACTTCCTAACAAATCTTTGATATTCTCTTAGATCTGGTGGTGTTGTATCATCATTGATGTTACAGTGTTCATCATAATCAACAGTTGTAAGTCTCTTGTTCTGTTCGATTGGAGTTAATGCAGGCTTAGAACCTGGCGAACCTAATTCTGCAATCAACTCCAAAGTATATTTTCTTTGGCACAGTAAGATTCCCTTTTGTGATCTGCACACCTCCATTCCTAGGAAGTACTTCAGAGTTCCTAGGTCCTTCATAATGAAGTTGTTTTGCAGAATGTTCTTGGCTTCCTGAATCGGACCAGCATCATCACCTTTTATGAGAAGGCCATCCATATACACAAGTACTATAAAATATTTGTTGTGCTTCTTCAAGATGAATATGGGATGATCATGCTTGCTTTGTATGAAACCAGCCTTTAGGAGTGCATTAGTTAGCTTAAGGTTCTACTGCTTAGATGCTTGTTTAAGGTCATATAAATATTTGAGTAGTCTATATCCTGTGTTCCCCCCTTGGCTGTCAATTAAATAGGCAGTTGCATGTATACCTCTTTCTCAAGGTCACCTTGAAGAAAGGCATTGTAAACATCCGTTTGAAATAATGCTTATATTCATAGCTTCTAATGCAATCACAGTCCTAATGGTCACCATTTTGACCACATGAGAGAATGTTTCTTGATAATCCAACCCTTCTTGTTGCCTGTATCTTTTAGCAACCAATCTAGCTTTGTATCTCTGTATTGTTCTATCTGATCTATGCTTGATCTTGTATACCCATTCGCAACCAATAGGAACTTTGCCTTTGAGGATAGGAACCACCTCTTGCGTTTTGTTACTCACCAGTGCATCTATCTCAGCTTGCATGGCATATACCCATTTCTGATCATTCATTGCCTCATTGTAGGATACAGGTTCAACATCTGTTGAAACTCCAGCAAGATAAGTCTGATAGGTACTGCTCAGTGTGTCATACCCTAGATAATTGGACATAGGATACATGCAAGGTGAAGAAGAAGGCTTCACAGTTGGGCAAATGTAGTCCTTGATCCAGATGGGCGGTTTTGATCCTGTATCAGTTCTCCTAAGTTTCATATGTGAGACTTCCTCATTTACCACCTTTGTTGCTTGTTCTGGCTGCTGAACTGGAATCTCCTCATCATTACTGTTGGATAAATCATCCAGCTGAGGAACTACATCTTCATTTTCAGCATGTGATTGTCCCATTTTTTGAGCAGGAGCCTGTTGTTGTTGAGGTGAACTTTGTTATGTTGTATAGTGTCTAGCTGATTCAAAAAACAAGAACTTCTTCCTTCTTTCATCAGCATGAATGGCAATACATCCTCTCTAAATGTAACATCCCTGCTGACAAAAGACTTCTCGTCCTTCGGGTTGTATAACTTGTACCCTTTCTAGGATGTTGAATATTCCATATGGACTGCTGTTATTGCCCTAGGAAGAAGTTTATCACTCTGGTTGGTGATTGTGGCAAAGACAGCTAATAACCCTTAGATGAAGTGGCGAAGGTGGTGACTTGTGGAAGACCTCATATGGTAACTTTCCACCTAGTACTGTGGATGGTAGCCTATTTATAAGATATACAGCTGCCAATACACAATCTCCCCAGAAATGCACTGGTATACTTCCTTGAAACCTCAGTGCTCTTGCTACTTCTAAAATGTGCCTATGTCTCCTCTCCACCACTCCATTTTGTTATGGAGTGTGTGAACAATTACTCTGATGTAGTATGCCATCGTCTGATTAAAAGGTTGCACATTCAGAGTTGAAGAATTCAGCTCCATTATCAGTTCTAAAACATTTAACATTATGGTTAAATTGCACATTGCCATCTTGATAGAGGACTTTAGAGGCAAAGTGTGTCACTTTTCAACTTCAATAAGAACGCCCAAATTATTTTTTAATGATCATCCACAAGTGTCAAAAATTATCTATTTTCATTATAAATAGGCACCTTGTAGGGTACCCAAATATCTACATGTACTAGCTGAAAAATGACTCATGCTCTAGTGGTGCTAAAGGGAAAAGGTTTCTTAGTTTGTCTTGCTAATGAACATATAGTGCATTTATTAAAATTGCAGTCTATAGACATCTTGTTCTTCATAAAAGCCAGCTGCCTCGTTACTCTTGCTGGTACATGTCCGAGCCTTCTGTGCCGCACATTATTGTTTGTAGTAGTGTCTTTTACCAAACAACTTCTAATATGTTACCTGAGCTATTTTGCACTTGATCCATCTGATAACATCATATAAAGACCATCATTTTCTTTACCAATTTCGTTCACTTTCTAGTGCATAGGTCCTGGAATACACAGAATGATGGAAAGAAAAGCACTAAGCAAAATAGCTCCTTGGTCAATTTTGAAACTGAGAATATGTTGTATTTGAAGTCAGGCACACATAGAACATTGTGAATTGATTCACCACCTATTACACTGCATTTTCCTTTATACATAACTGGTACTGATTTTCCATTTGGCAGATGAACATTACCTCCTTTGAAGTTAGATAATCTAGTTATATCAGTCAGTAAACTAATATTTGAAGTCATATAATTTGTAGCCATTGTAATTCAAAGAATGCCACATGTTTGAGTTAATTTTGAATCAATGTTACATGCTGTGTTTGCTGCAAACTCTTCTCCTTTGTCTTGATTCAACAACTTCATTATCTGGATGTACTGCTCATCAGTAAAATAATTGTGCATTTCTTGCCTTGCTACATTAGAATCTGAAGTTGTGGCTGCCTAAAGCATGTCATTCTTTGCATGAAATCCTTCACTTATAACTGCATTAGCTTGTCTATACTCTTGCTTTCTCTTTCCTTTAAAACCAGGCGGGTAGTCCACTAACTTGTAATAAATATCCTTAATGTGGCCTTTGGTTCTGCAGTACTCACAATACAAATTTCTATATCTCTTGAACTTCTGTGTGTTATCTCTAGAGCTCATTAGGGCAGTGGAATCATTCACCTAATTCATAGGTGTATTGGTCATACAAACTTTCCCTTGACTTTCCTCATGAATTCGCATAGCATATGCACGACTCACACTTGGTGATGGGAGTAGCATTTGACTTCTAAAGCCACTATTAGCTCTCATTTAATCCCATTAAAAACTGAAAAAGTTTCTGTTGTTCTAAGTATGTTATGAATTCTCTTATTTCGGGAGTTACATGCAGAGTTGGAATTAGATCACTATACTCATCCCACGGCAGTTTAAGCCTAGAATGATAAGCAGAAATACTGGAGGTACCTTGAGAAACTGTAGCAATTTCGCAATGAAGATTGTAGATCCTCGATCCGCTGATTTTGTCAAAATGATCCTGTAAATCAATCTACACCTCATGAACGTTACTGGCATAGATTATCCCATTCACTAACTCCGGCGACACAGTGTTCATAATCCAAGTCAAAACTGTGGGCTGTGGCATTGACACGTTCCCAATCCTCGCCTAAATCATCAGTGAATTGATCCTTAGTGCATGTACCAGTTATGAACCCTAATTTTCGTTTGGCTCGCAACTCGATCTTCATTGCTCTGCTCCAGACTGAGTAATTCTCAACAGTTCAAGATAGATGTTTCCACGTAAAGAGTTACAAAAGCAACAAATGTCAATTGTTTTCGTTTCCTTTCAGCCATGTCTCCGTCTTATGCTTTTAGATGGTGCTAATGAAAACAAAAGTGTTACCCTTTTTATTCGTCCGGATTAATCAAACCTCATACCGAACGCTAGTAGAAAACCAAAAATATATATGGATGCAGTAGGGAGCAAATCCAGGTTGAAACGTATGAAAATCAGAAATTGTGGAAATTAACTGTTGCTGTACTTCAATATGAGGAACAAGCACAAATGCATAAAGTTCAACCTGACCATGCATGCAGTTCAAAGTAAGATCTCTAGTAAAACTTTAGGTACAAGTTGACATATACCGCATATTCAAAGCACAATAACATGGCATGTCGAGATTCCAAACAAGTACGTACTGCTAAAGGTATAAAAATCGAATTTCCACTTTAAAGCTTACTTGGAAGTCTCAATGCAAAAGCATCTCCAAGTACTGAGAAAGGGAAACAAAAAGAAAAATGAAGTGATAAAAGATGAAATAATTTTCTGAACCAATCAAGTAGAAATCATTAACCTTTTGGTAACTTTGTATTGAAGAGGTTACGGAAATACCTCAACATGATGTTATCCTTGCTTAATTGACTTGCTTCAAAATTCACCTAAAAAATTGTTTTAAGCCGAGGGTATATTGGAAATAGCTCCTCTGTCTTTCACAAGATATGAGTAAGGTTTGCATATATGTTACCCTCTCTAGACTGCACTTGTGAAATTAAATTGGATTTGTTGTTGTACTTTTTCTCCAAATCCATTGAGTTTCATAGAGAAAATGCAATTACAAACAACTAATTTAAAATCAATAAAAACAAAAGCGTTACCCTTTTTTCATCTTCAACTAATTAATCGAGGCTATTTTGATTCAATCCCTAAAAATTGATTTTGAAACCTATCAAAGGAGAAATACAATTTAGAACTATTATGGAAGCCAACAAGATCATTCTTAAACATATTTACCGTGTAGTTTTTTCGACAAATGAAGATCATAAATATAAATAATATTTGTTAATTTGGGAAGATGCACTCATAGAAATGGAGTTTCTTATCCGGGCAGATTCGAGCCATGTACCATATGAAATATTTTGAAATTTTTATTTAGTTTCTCCAATGTATAAAAGAAGTACATATTGAAAAAAGCTACTACATTAAACTCAAATCCATTTGATATATTTCTATCATTTCCTTTCTTATCTTTTTCTTTAAAACAAAATTCTTGTTGATCTTGAAAATCTAAATTGTTCTTTTCCACAACCAGAAGAAAAGCAAAAGGTTTCCTCATGCTCAAAACTGAAAATAAGCAAAAGATAACGAAAGCAAATAAAAAATTCCAGGAAAAGGTGCTTTGTAGTGGCAAATAGGTCATTATCCCTTATTAAAATATAACAACGTCAACTTATATTATACGGCAGAGAGAGATTAATTAATTAATAAAGTGACTGATCAGGAAAGAAACTTACTGCCAAGAAAATGGCATAAAAGAGTTGAGAGACACAATATATTAAAAAACCAGTAGAATATATACATTTAATATAATATAATGTTATATATATATATATATAGTATAAAGCTTACGTTCCAAGTCTAAAGGGTCTTCACTTAGCCAGAAGTTGCATATGGTTATGTAAAAATTGACTCATATTTTGACAGGAATGTCAGATACATACAGATTAGTGGGCACTCAACAACTCTCTTTGTCTTAACATACAAGCATTTCACTAAGTTCTGATTTTCTCTTTGTTTTATCCTCATATTATATATCTGTACCCTTTCTTTCCTTTGCTTCACCTTCACTCTTGTCTCTCTAAGTTATATTTTCAGTTTTTCTTTTGAACCAATTGACTAAGCATTTTTTTTTTTATAATACCAAGAACACAACTTTTTCCGTTTGTCTTCATGCTTATTATAGAATAAGTTGTTGTTTTCTTCTCAAATCTATGTGGGTATTTTCCAAGATCAAATTTTTACGAGGTTTTAAGTTGTTTAATTGAGTAAATTCCAAAATTTGAGGTGTTTTCTTTATTTGGCTTTAATGGATGTTTCTTGTGATCTTGAAGTGGATGTCAATGGTGAAGAAATCTTTATTGTTGATAAGGTAATTTTTCTTTCTTTCTTTTAGCTTTCTGGTTCAAGCTTTGCATTTCCTCTCCCTTTTCTTTTTTTGTTTCTTTGTCCAAATTGTTATCTTCTCAAATTGTATCCACCCCCAAAATAACTGGTGTTCTGTTTAACTTGGCTTCATTTCTATCCATTTTGTGCTATCAGAGATCATTCTCCTTCATGTTTATTTGTTGTCTTTTAACTCTTTCTACATTATTGTCCTTAACTTTTCCTACTCATGTCTAACCAAAAATTAAATTCTGTACCTACATTACTCATGTGTGGGGCAAAGTTTCTAATACTCCAGCTTACTTCTTTTTCTCCAATGTGACTTGTAAGCTCACCGCCCTTTTTTTTTTTTTTTTTGTATGTTTCCTCTCATTTATTATTATGAGGTTTAAATGTTCTTGCCCCTTTTAAATTTGGTTCTTTCACATCTTTTTAGAGTGTGACCAAAAAAGGTTTCCACTCATTACTGTGCTTTCCCTACTTTGGCTGCTACATCACAGTCTTTTTTCCTCAATTCCTCTCCCAAATTTAATTCACTATAACGACCTGTCATCATTCTTTTGGAAATTCTTTAGATTATTCCATTTAATTTTTGCTTTTGTGTGGTTTAATTTAATGCCCTTCATAAGGTTCTTAGTATTCTGAAATAATTGAGTGATAAGTCACTAATATGCTTGTGTTGTTATCTGATTGTGTTTTGTTATAAATTTGTGCAGAATGTTATATGTTCTTATTCAGGAAGAATAAATAAATTGTTTGGGAAAACAAAACGAGGGACGAAATATTTAAAGGTGATATTTCATGATTTCCCTGGTGGAGCTGAGAGTTTTGAGCTCATTACAAGATTCTGTTACAACAAAGGGAAGATTGAGATAAACCACATTAATGTTTCAACTCTATATTGTGCTGCCAGTTATATGGAAATGGAGAAATCTGTATCAGGGAACCAAAATCTATTCGAGCTAACTGAGAATTCGCTTGCGGATATAAGGTATTGGACTTGGTCTGAGCTTCTTGATTCCCTAAAACAATGTCAAAATTTGATACCTGTAGCAAGTTCATCAGTTGTAATTGATAAGTACCTCGATTCTCTTATTGGGAGAGTTGCATCTTCCTGTGAAACCAGTCCTTGTCCGTCAACTTCTTCTGCTGACAGTTCTGGATTTCGGTTGTCTTGTGATTCAAAAAGTACAGAGAGCTTTAAAAATAGCATATTTAGGGCAACGTGGTGGTTTGAGGATTTAGCTGCTTTCGAGCCCTTTTTGATTGATATATTGGTAAAGCAAATGGTATCCAGAAACCTTGATCATGGTATTCTTAGTAAGTTTTTGTTCTATTACCAAAAATCAAGATTTGCATCGGCCAAAACGATGGATAAGAAAAGCAAGACGATGGAGACAGTTATCGAGATGCTTTATTTGCTAGATTTAAGCTGCATTTCCTTCAAAACATTATTTGGAATGCTTCGAGTTACACTGAATTTGAAGATAAGCAAGTGCTCGCGGAACAAGTTAGAGAGTATGATTGGCTCCCTGTTGGATCAAGCGACTTTGGATAACCTACTGCTCCCATCACCGGTTGGATCAAGTTATTTATATGATGTAAATTTAGTTCTTAGGTTGTTGAAATCATTTATCAGCAAAGGGGCATGTTGTGTTCCGTTAACACGATTGAAGAAAGTTGCTAGCTTGATCGACTTGTATATAGCAGAAGTCACTCCTGATCCATGTCTAAAACCTTACAAGTTTCTTGCCCTGGTCAAATCGCTGCCTGAATCTGCTAGGGACTCATATGATGCAATCTACCACGCCACGGTTATGTATTTTGAGGTATGCTTAACGAACAATAGTTAAATTGTTGTATGGTCTTCAACTTTGTACTTGTTTCTTTGTATTATGATGCTCATTTAAACTGATAAAAACACATATATTCACTATTAGTTCATGTTCAAGAATGTGGCGAATTGCTTAGGCATTGTTCCTAAATTTAGCTAGTTGGTCTAACGTTGATAATCAACGAAAAATTGCAGGTACATTCAGGGTTATGTGAAGAGGAAAAGATGAAAGTATGTAGTGGATTGAACTATGAGAAGCTGTCAACAGAGGCTTGTAACCATCTTGCTCAGAACAAGAAATTCCCTTCAAAATCTGCTGGACAAGCTTTGATCACACAACAAGAGAAGCTCAAAAGCTTACTTCAAGAAACCAATCAAGCTACTCCTTACATCAATTCGCCTTGTAGTTTCGTGGAAACAGAAAATACAGGTAAGGAAGATCAGCAGATCGTGCTATACGCGGGGAAGCTGGATCTTTCGACTGAGAATGAGAAACTTAAAGTACATTTACAAGGTATGCAATGTAGGGTGCTAGAATTGGAAAAAGTTTGCAGGAAAATGCAAAATCAGATGGCAAAAATGTTGAAATCAAGAGTATCAAGCCATAACAATGCAAGATCTTTACCTAGGCTATGTTCTTGATGGAAATCATAAATCCCATCATTTTTATTTAGTTAACTCATATTATTTGTTACTCCTACTTCTTTTTTGAATGTGTATGTAAATAGCAAATGAAAATATTAGTGCTTTGTTTTGAATAGCAAGTGTACTTTTACCCCACCACTTACTTTTTCTGGCTGTCAATAGTAGGGGAGATTGGGACTAATCCATTGTTTTACAGAGTATAAAATTTTGTCTGTATATATATACAGAAACTGAAAAAAAAAGCAGTGTGGTAGACATGCAGAAACTGTTTGAGCATATAGGAATAAAAAGGAAGAACAATTGAAAAGCTGAATTATAATTTTGGCAGAAAAAGAACTGATCATTCCCTGATATTTGTGCAACAAGGATGATATAAGGTAAAGTCACTTTCTATATCATTCTCATATTGAGACAATGGCGTGTTGCTAGTTGGGAAATTGTCTGCAAGAAGTAAAAGAGAATTTCCTAAAGCTGAGAAGTTTCAATCAAAGATCTGAATTGTCCATTCATATTCTTCCCACATTGCAACCCCACTGCGTCTGGTGGAGGACACAGTGAGCCAAGTAAATATGAAAAAAGGGAAAAGAAAATTAAAATAAAAACAAAAAGCAATAATCCATTCGTTTCAAATTAAATGAGTTAGTTTGACTCGTCATAAAGTTTAAGAAGAAAAAAAAAAGACTTTTGAAACTTGTGGTCTTAAAAGCTTAAGGGTTAAAAGTTTTGTGGTACCATCATATTTGTGTGGTTATAAAAGCTTGTAAAATGAGTAAAATAAAGAGTTTAAAGTTGAATTACGTCCAAATTTAGAAATGTGTCATTTATTTTAGAACAGACTAAAAAGGAAAGTACATCATCTAATTTGAAACGGAGGGAATATTTTTTTTTTTCAACACATTGTGAAAAGTGAATTGTACGTAGATCTTTGTTTGATTGTATAGTTGATGTATATCTTTTGTGAGCGAGTGTCAACATATACATCTTGGCAACTTGCTCACTTGGACGTTCAAGAAATTTTGTTGGACATGCTGATTCATATCTCTTACAAATTACAACCAACACATGTTCTCTATTCGTAAAGTAGAAGCAATTTGTTGTCACTTTTAATATATCGGTGGGGACAGGCGCATAAATCTTTAGTGATATTGGGTCTATAAGTAAGTCATATTGATCGGCACGACGCAGCTGAATTGATCAGCTCATCAACAATTACCCGGATTGCACCTTGTTGCCTCGTAGTTTTTGACAGTCTAAACATTTTTAAACTGAATGTTCAATCCAAAACATTACTGTAGTAATGAATGCAGTAGTTAACAATTTTGGTACTCTTTTTGTTCACGTCAATATACCGGATAAGAGATACTCTATCATTTTTAACTACAACGCATGTCCAGGAACGTAGAATCTTACTGGTACGTTGTTACAATGAAGTCAACTTAGTAGTTGACATGCAGAATAATTAAGGAACAATATTGTTAATAATTGGCAAAGGTGAAACAACACAGTATAAATTCTTTGTTAAATATCTATGAAGCAGATAAGACGAGTGACTTAGGGAATACATAGGGTTGTGTGAAACGTAGGTTGACCAATTCAGGCGAATATTCTTATCGATAATTGTAATTTAATACTTAGTAAAGCAGTATTCCTTCCCTACAGAACCGACCAACTGGGATAGGCGTCAAAAAGCCGTTATTAACCAGTAGCCAAACTGTCCTTAAACCTATTTTTAAATAGATGGTCCTCACCTCTAATTTAATATAGAGAAAAAAAAAAAAAGAATTTTTCATAAGGGATTTTTTCCTAACTATATCATATATGAAACCTTATTACCAAAAATGTGCATAATTTGTTAATTACCCGCCCAGTCCACACTTTAACTACAATTTATATACCAATCCATAATTAGGCAGATTCTGCCATTTAAAACACGCGGAAAAAAAAGGCACAAAATCTACGTTTGATTCTTTCCACATTAAATTCGAAATTTGAAACGGAAAGAGATCTGATTGCTGCGTAATTCTCTCTTTCACTACAATTCAAAACAACGCAGAGCTTCAGAAGCTTCAACAACGCAATACAAATTGTAGAATTCAAAATTGTTCTTCATCGTCCTCAGTACTCAAATTGTCGGACCTATATCTGTTCTTCATCTTTTTTCTCTCAACTACACGAAATCATGTCCCAATAATGCTAAAATTGAATGGGAATTGGGATAACTATGGCAGATTTAGAGATTTTGAAGTTGATGCCATTGTGGTAAATGAGAATGCAGGTTTGTGTAGTTCGAAAATGCTTAGAATTTTAGTTTTATGATATTATCTACAAATTTACTACATATATCTACAATTTGACTACAAGTTCTTTATTTGGTGCAGGAAAAAAATATTTTAATATACAGTGTCTCCAGATTGTAGATAAATTGTAGGCAAATTGTAGTTTACTTATAGTTTGTAGTTAATTTGTAGATAAATTGTAGATAAAATGTAGATATATTGTAGATACTATATTTTTAATATTGTAAATTTTTTTTCTTTGTGTTTGTTCTGAAAATGTAGGTGAGGGCTTCAACAGATCATATACATACTGTGTTGGATGGTGTGAAGCGGTACATTGTGTGTCTAGAAAACAAGAAATGTAGTTGTGGCCAATTCCAACTTGAAGAACTTCCATGTGTAAATTGTTTCCAGATTGTAGTTATAATGTAGGTTAGATGTAGTTAATTTGTAATTTTTGTAAATTTTGTAGACAATTTGCAGATTAATTGTGGATAACACATTTCTACGATTGGAGTATTTATTTCTTATTTTTTGTTGTGTAATTTATATTCAACTGACAGTTATATACAAATATTACATAGAACTTGGAGGTAAACATCTAAAAATTATGATAAAAAGCTACAAAATTTATATACAATAACTACATTGAGTCTTCACACAATATAGATAGTTTGAAGATTATTGGCGAGGGAGATTTACGTCAAGGATTAAGGCGAGAGAGATGCAAGCAGAAAATTGGCGAGGGGGAGGGAAGCTGGAGGCAAAGTCGGCGACGATCTGATCGAAGGGCCGACGATCCCCGGCTTTGAGCAACGTCAACACCGTGTTCGATTCTTCTTTTCCTAACATCCTCTTGTTTCTCTCTCACTGGGAGTGTTGATGTTTTTCATGAGTTGGGAGAAAGATTACTTCAACTTGAATCAGATGGAACTTCAAATTGGGATTTTGTGAAATTAAATGGAGAAAAAATTGTAGAATTGTGGGTCTGTAGAGGACAACTGATGGTAAACGTGAGGTAGTGAAGGTAAAACGTGGGGGGTGTGGGGGGTGGGAGGAGAGAGGGGCGGGTAAAGGTAAATGTGAGAATATACGCTCCTAAATTAACGCCTAATATAAATGAAGCATTAATTATATCCCTAATTTGAATTATGGTATATAAATGGTAATTTGGTATGCTGAAATGTAATTAACACAAACCTTAAACATTGAGGGTAATAAGGTTTCATATATTGTATAGGAAGGTAAAAATCTCTTTTCATAAAGCACCATCTTTTAGGTCTAATTAGCCATTTATAGATACCCTTTTGCTATATTACGTGTTATGATTACCTTTTATGTTTTTATACAATGTATTTCATGTATTTAAGCTGTTGTACTCATTAATACAACCAAATAAAATAGGCGTAAAAAGTGGAATTCCAGCTAAGTTTGACATGTATTTAGCTGTATTCAAGCGGCATTAACGTTAAATACAGTAACGTATCTGCGGAAAAGCTGGAAGGTTAAACTGGTTAAAAACGAAAGGAAATCAAATCACATGATATTCTCCTAATTTAACTCAACGAACTAAAACGATCCCTCATTAATCTGTATTTGAAAGATACATAATAAAGATTATAGCTGAATAAAGAGAAATACAAATGAATAATACAGTTGAGTATAACTGTATACAGTTGAATACAACAAAATACAACTAAATTCATCTGAATAAAACACTTGAATACAACAAAATACAACTGAATACAGCTGAATAAAACTCTTGAATGCAACAAAATACAACTAACTTCTGCTGAATAAAATAGTTGAATATAACTAACTACAACTGAATACAGTTGTATAAAACACTTGAATACAACTAACTAGTGCTGAATAAAATAGTTAAATACAACTGATTAAAACTGAATACAAGAGAATACGCATAACTTTTTAATACATCTAAAATATATAAATGAATGTTGCTGAATACATGTGAATACAGCTGAAATATACATTCGAATACAACTGCATACAAATTGGCGATTTGGGCGATCTAGAGAGAGAAACAGTCTTATGGCTTCGCCGGCCGGCGGCCAGCCATTAATTCCGGCTGGTCAGCCCCCTAACACATCTGCCCAACCTCCTACAACAACTACAAACAATCCCCAGCCCTCAAATCCCACAAACAAAGCCATGAATTACGCAAAAGCTGTGAACCCTACTTCGACGACCACTGCCATGCAGAATCGAGCCGCTACAGTTGAACCAATTGCTCTTCGTCTATCAAAATCAACGAATTAAACTTACCCTAAGCGATTGAAATAGAGTGATAATGGAGGAGAACTAGAGAATTTGGGTGGGAGAAGAGGTATGAATCGTGGGTTGAGGGAGAAAGAGTAAAGTGTATGCAAAAAGAGAGAGAGAGAACGTGGTTAGTCAATTTTACGGTGATTATGTGAGAGAAAAGACTAAAAAGGAGAGAGAAAAATATTATTTAGCATATATGGTGCCTTAAATGTAGGATGTAACTATAATTAGATATTTGGCTATAAAGTATAAAAGGTATCTATAGGATGTAATATTTTAAAATGGTATTTATTTAAAATAAATAGGGTACTAAGGTTTTCTATAGGGTGTAAAAATTCCAAAAAAAAAAAACTTAAATCACCTCAATGCATTTTTGTAAAATTTTGATCCCCACTTACCGTTTCAATCTTTTTGAAGTAAACTTTTTTTGTTTTGCTTAAATAGAGAAATATTAACAATATACATGCAACGTATGAGATGAAAATTTTAGTGTACGAATATAATAAGAACCTTTCACAGTTTCTTGTGTAACTCTAGTAATCTCATGATTCTGTACTTATTTTCACGAGAAAAAACTGCAGTAAAAGAAATAGTAAATTCAAGGCTCAATATAATATTG